TGATGCACATTTTCTTTACATAAAACTCTCTTATACATGAGTTGCTGTGGATTTGTTTCTCCAAAGTACCCAGACTAATACAGACACACACACACAATTCTTATAGACTGACTTCCAGGAAGTTGAGAGCCAGGGCGAGCAGATGGAAGAAGGAGGTTTACAATCTTTAAAATCTCTGCCATGCTGAGCCGGTGAAGATATTTCCGAGTTCCCTCGCTACACACCCAGCGCATGTAATGATCCCTTTCATGAGGCTTTTTTTCTTTTAAAGAAAGGTAAAAAGGGTGCCAGAAGGAAGCCCAGTATCCACAGATGCATCGACCGGGCAGTGTGATCCATCTGCTTTGCATCTGCACAGGCCTCGGGCCTCAGTAAACGTGGCCTGGATGACAAACGGAGGTTCAGGGGGGATGGACGTGTTTATTCACAGACATCTCCTTTCCCATCTCTCTCTCAACCCACTCCGTCAGCGCACCGAGGCTTTGCTCGGATGAGCGTTGGATGATCCTTGGTCCTGTGGTCTCTGACCAAGTCTGCCTCCCCAACCTTCACCACCTTGATGGCCCTCATGGCATCTGTCTCCCAGTTCTCCACAGCCCCTCCCAATGCCGGACAGGGAGAGGGAGCCAGCGGCCCAAGGGGTGGACTTACTTGAGAGTGTTCTTGAACAACAAGGGGGGTCTTCTCATCTTGCTTTGAGCTCGGCTGTACCATTGCAGGGACGGTCTTGAACAATCACTCCTCGGGTTCACACAGTTAGACGCGCCTGACCTTGCTGCGGAGGAAGGGGGAGGGCAGGGTTGAAAAGAGGCATGCGATACTCGCCAAACGGAGCTCGTGTAGGGTCCATCTGTATCGCAGAACACCGTGCGGCCATCAAAAGACATGTTTATCGATACACGTAGGAACCCACAGCCAATACTGAACGGTCACCGAGTGGGTGCCTGCACTTCTGCAATGTCCTCGGGGTGATAAAGCCAGCAATGACCAGCACACCAGGAACCCACAGGTGCGCCCCGGCCCTGCTCTACAGAGCTGCTGCTAGGAGTTGGATTGGACTGGATGGCGAGCACATCGGTGGGGGTCCGGGGTATGGCAGGGGGTCGGGGTCAGGTCAATGTTACTGTAAAAGGCCACTCCAGGGATCTGGTGGTGAATGAACATTTAGCATCCTGGCTGTACCCACCCTCACTATCCTACCTGTGCGATCAGACAACTTTTACAGGCTGTCCCCAGGGGGGAACAGCCCTCTCTGACATCTCCTTGCAGGTGCAGGTGAATCAACACGCTGGATCAGTGCACAAAGCAGAAAGTCGTGAGGAAATGCTTCTTTTAGAAACCATGTGTTCTCGGGGATGGTGGCCCGGTGACTCTCTTGAACTCGGCCCACTTTCAGTTTGTGAAGCTCTAAGAAAAACTCCAAGGGATACGGCAGCAGGAGGGGCGTGTCTCCACGCCCCACACCCCGCATCAGTGTTGTTCTTCCTCTCACCCTCGTGTCCAGTGGTCTTTGAGTCAACCTGCACTCACGGCGACCCTCCTGTGTGGCAGAGGAGAACTGTGCTCCACGGGGTGTGCAGTGAGGGACTGCTTTTTCAAAAGTAGGCGGACAGCCTTCTCTTGCAAGGCGCCTCGAGGTGACCTTGAAACATGACCTTTAGGTTTGCAGCTTTCCAGCCCTTTTGAGGGTAAAGAGACTTAGGGTCTGGGAAACCCACCGGAGCAGTTTGGCCCTGTCCTACAAGGCTGCTAGTGTCGGAATCTACTCCACAGCAGCGAGGTTTTTGGTTACTGTATCAGCAGAGGGTCCTTGGCGTGGTGGGTTTCCTGTTCGGCTGCTAGCTGCAAGCCCCATCGTTCAGACCCACCAGCTGCTCCTTGAGAGAAGCCGGAGCTTGCTTGCTCCTGTAAAGACTGACCCCTGGGGAACCCACAGGCACACCCCGACCCTGCCCTACAGAGCTGCCACAAGTTGGATTCGACTGGAGGGCAGTGCTTTTTCTTTCTTTTCTTTGTTAAGTGTTAGTCATTGCTTGAGCACAGTTACAAGTAGACTGTTCCCGAGCACCCTGATCCAAGAGGACAGAACACAATTTTAAACCACCCACTTCGTGTCTCCTCTCATGGAGTTCAAGAAGGCCTCCCCTCCTCCCTCCAAAAAGCTTCATCCCTGTTCACGAGTAGAGCACCTTCAATGAGCCACTCCTCCCTCACCACCAAAAGATGGGCGAGGAATCACACGTAGGCACTTCCCTTTTCCACTGGGCAGGTGGAATCCATCTTTTAGGGATGTGAAATTTCACCCATGAAAACGAAATCCCCAAAACCCTGGGCGAGCACCTGTGCTGACGGACATGGGTGAGACAGTGCCTGCCATCTCCCGATCCAGAATCTGCCTAATGGCAAACACCTCCACTGACTCCTTCAGGGGCTCCCTGCAGCCCCGCACACCAGGACCGTGGGCAGGGTGCTGGGACGTCTGCATGTGAGCGGACTTGAGCCCCAGAGTTTCCGGGCTGGCGAGGGAGGGTGCCTGGGGTGGGGGGGGTCACAGTTACATGCTGGGCCACTGCCTAGAAGTTGGCGGCTGGAACTCACCATCCCGGGGCGACTCAGAGGAAAGGCCTGGTGATCTGCTCCCCAAAAGCCATCGCCCCCGAGAACCTCACAGAGCAGTTCCACTGGGAAACCAGAGGGCTGCCCTGAGTAAGACTGACCTGAGGGCACCCGGTTTGACGGACTGATTGACTGATGACTGTGTGTGCGACACACACACATACAATAAAGAAAGTGAGGAGCAAGCTAGAGAGAAAGACAGAGCTAGAGAGAGAACGCGAGAGCCTTTTTTTTCTCTTCAGTTTGGACCAGGTGAAGTTGCATTTTAAGCAAGTCCCCCTTACTCAGGTGTAACTCACCAGGAAGTTTCTTACCACCGGAGGCTAGGGTGGCATATCATTAACGAAATTTGAGCCTAAAGGTTTTCAGCTCCACGGACCTACCTATACACTGTTGGTACGACGAGCAGGGCAGTTGCGTGGGCGTGGCCAGGGAAGCCCAACCCAAACTGAACCCAACTCACTGCCCCGGCGCCCGCCCACTCACCGGGGCCCTGCAGGACAGGCCGGAGCAGCGCATGCGCCTGTGAGATGGTCTCGCTACGGGAGAAGACCTGGTCTGTCTTCTGCAGAGCGCCTGGTGGTCTCGAACTGTTAACCTTGAGGTTAGCAGCCTAACACTATATCCCACTACGCCACTGGGCTCCTCAGCTCGGCTAATAAGACCCTCCAAATTGTGCTCTGCCCCCAATTTTGAGATGAATCAACACAGCCGTGGAAGTCAGCAGGAAGCGCCCTCCCCTCTCTTGTCTGGCTGCCTTTCATATTTCTGGCAGCTCAAAATGTCGTTCTCGACCTCATTGGTGCCCCTTGGACTGGAGACCCGGGTAAGGGTTCCCATAAGCCCCCCCAGCTGTGCCCCCGTGCAAACACCTGGCACCATCACATCAGCTCAAAAACCATGTCCAGCCAAGCGCATTCATCTGCTATCAACACAGCTGAATGGCCCCTGCGCCCTCCTGACTTTCACTTCTGGACGTGGTCCAGCGTGTGCTCAGTGGTGGGAGGGTGTTTGTTTTACGGGCCTTCACTCTACACTCGGGAGAAGGTAGACACACAGCCTGCCTTGACCCGGGGGGTGGGATGGGGTGGGGTTCTCCAGTACAAAAGTATTCATTTTAACTTGCTGAATGGGCTCTCACAGCCGGTAGTGGAATATACCATCATTAATAGAAACAGCCATGGTGCCCCCTCTGTGTGATTCCAGGTAGACTAGAGAAACAAATTCAGGGAGACTCATATGTGTATAAGAACGAGCTTTATATACAAGAGGAGTTGAATATTGAGAAAATATCCCAGCCCAGTCCAGATCAAGTCCATAATCTGGTATTAGCCCATATGTCTGATAACAATCTATAAAGTCCTCTTCAGGCTCACGAAACACATGCAAAGATGCCAAATGCAGGAAGATCACAGGCCAGTGGGTGGGAAGTCTTGTGGATCCAGTGTGGTGGAAGCATCTCAGCACTGGCAGGGGTCTCTATGTGGCTCCTCCAGCGCCAGGGCTCTGGCTGCCACTGGCCTGTCTCCAGTTGGCTTGTCAACAAGGATGTCCCGCCTCCAACGAGCTATTTATCTCCTTAGCGCCTCCAAATGAGGTCACCAACCTGTGATCTGATTGACAGTCTAAACTCCACCCCCTTCACTGGTAAGTCTCAAATTGACAGCGGGTTTTGTAACTACCACACCCTTTAAGGGTGCCCAGGACACGTGTGACACCTGTCAGAACTCAGACACAGCTCTGAAGAGGACCTATCTATCCCAGTGAGTCACAAAAATGTCCTGCACACGCACCGTCAGCAACGCCTTGAATTCTGACCACCAACCAAGACGCAAGTCCTTCGAGGGGCACTTTTTAATGTCAATCAAAATCAACCGGCATGCCTCAAGTGTTGATCATGCATCACCGCGATCCCCCAGCCGCCTGCCCTTGCCAGGTCTGAGAGTCCTCAGAACACATCGACATCCTGCAAATCTAGACCCTGCCGGCCACTACGGATGGCACATCTCCCAAGACTGTCTAAAGGTGCAAAGATGTTAAGGAAGGGTGCACTCACCAGCGGGACCTAAACCATCGAGAACAGAGCCAGCAGTGTTGTCGGTCTTTTGGGCCTGGGGCCCTGGCACTGAGAAACTCCTAGCTCCAGGGGAAATTTGCTACCAAGACACATGGAATGCCCAAGGAGTGCCAGGCCTATAGAAGCTGAAGGAGACAAGGGCCTTCCCCAGGGCTGACAGGAAGAGAAAGGCTTCCCCGAGGGCAGCCGGTCAGAATGCGGACTTCCAGCCTCAACTGTGACAGAATACTTCTTTGTTACAGGGAGAAAAAAATAAAAGTACAATGGCTCTTGGGTCAAATCCGGTGCCCCCTCTGACACCCTCCTCCTCCAGGTCCCCCACATCAGCCACTAGGCTGCCTGCTGCTCCTTACTTCCACCCCCACCCCAGTGGGGGTTCTCCTTCCTCATTTGCATCTAGGTCTTCTGGGGGGGGGGGGGGCTCGCCTTCCTTGACCTGCCTCTGTAAAAGCAGCACCCACACCCCCTCCACCCTGCTATTCTCCTTCCTGCTTGATGTTTCTTCAGGATGTACAGATAACGTATTTGCCTACTGTCTGCTCTCCCAATACATTACAAGATTCCTAAGGCAGGGATTTTGTCATGTCTGTTTGCTGCTATAACCACAGAAAACAGGGCCTAATACATCAGTGGAACTCAGTAAACATTTGCTGAACAAATAAATGAATAAACGCGCCAGTTAATGGCCTGGCAGATCACCATGGAGGAGCACACCCAACTTGGCATGGTTCTTACAAGAGGTCTGACTACTGGGAGCCACCCCCACCCCCCACGGCCCCCCAGGCACGACAAGATTTGGGATGGGATAAGGAAGGGGTGAGTCAACCAGGGCGAGGTACAGCACTGATAAACACACAACATTCCTCTGGTTCTTTGAGGCTTTCTCACCCCCACTATCATGACCTCAGGCCTGCCTTTCACTTTGTTTGGTCTAGACTGGAGCATGTCCACTGGTACAGATAAGAGCTCACAACACACAATCTAAGTCAGATAAACCCCTCAGGAAATGGGAGAAGCCATACCAGGAAGGTGGGGAGCGGAGGGGAGGAAGGGGGAACCGATCGCAATGGACACACACACAC